TTCACTGGCACAGCCAAGTGAATAGAAACAAGTCAAAACACCAAAGCAGAGACAGCTCCTTCACTTTTACTGTTTTACACCTTGTAAGACCTATGAAGTACGACAGCAAAACTATCTCAAAATGCACATGGGATTTTTTTTGTGTTCACAACAGCAAATAGAAATGTTATCATACCTTTAAAAAAGGGTAGAATTTGTTATAGCTTTCATTAGACTAAATCTTTACACTCTTTCCTCATTCTGAATGGCTAGGAAGCAATTTAGAGAAATACTTCAAAGATTCACTGGCCTTCCTCAAACATAAAAAAAATTCCAACTGCCAGGAAGATACATCTAGTGGTACCAAGACATACAGGCTGAAACTACAATAGCAAGTTTCACTGCTTCTAACGTGATTCACATGGACAGGATATCCCAACAGTCTCACTGCAAGGCTCGCTTCACAGCACTTCTCCCAGTTCAGGGGGCGAAAACCTCAGAGCTATTCCAACTCCTTTGGCTGGTAACATGGGAGCAGCATTGAAGTTTGAATTGTTTAAAAGTTTCATGATTTCTCAAAGCAACAGTACTTGTGTCATACTGGAAGAGAAGGGCAAGAAAGTGAGCAAAAGATAGTCATACTCTCCAAAAAAAGGTGTGGGAAAGATGAGAACCTCAAGAACATATCCAAATGCATCATATAACTAAACAGATCTGATGGGAAACCAAACAAGATGTGACTTTCTAGTCAGTTTGAGAGATGTCTAAAAAATTTCTTTTCTGAGAATTCACATCATTCTTCTACTGATACCTGCTTCCTACAATCCAGTTAGGAATTCAGGTTATAACCTGAGGCTTTCATAAACTTTTTTTTATAGAATGAAGAATCGATTCATTAGTTCTACCAGCTATTATTACAAATAGATGCTACTATAACATATCTATAAGTTTCTACCCATACTGTGCAACGTACATTCAGTAGCTAGTGATAAATCCTGCACTGTAAAGTACTTCATAAAAAAATGTCTGATCATTATTTGGCTTAAGAAGTACATAACAAACTTCCTTCTCCTAATAAGAGATGCAACTCTTATGCACATGCAACTTAATCTCCAAATTATTACTACAAATCTTGGCATATGCCTGAAAGCTGTTAACAGTTGTATCTGACAACACTATATATTTAAAAACCTGTCTATAAATACATGATGAAAAGTTGTATATGACTGTATACAACACAATCTGAGATTTTGATAATATTCGTACAGTCTCTGCTCAATCAACTTGAATAAAGAACTGATGTGGAAATTAAAAAACTCAGTGTGAGTTTCTGCTATCTTCGGTTGAATTTTTATATATTATTCCCTAAGATACTCTTCAGACAAAAAAAGTTTAAAGTCTTTGTGGTATTATAACAACATTCCCAAGAGCAGCTTTAAATTTGAACGCCTAGGCGTTTTCACCAAGAATTCTCCCAGTTATGACCACCCAGAAACAGGAACACAAACACAAAGCAGGTTCTGAGGAGCTGTCAACATTTTAAGTGATGGAAGTAACACATCAGCAGTTACCCAAAACAAAAAAAATTTCAAAAGACCATCCATTTTTAGCTGAACCAATTGCTGCAAGCATCACTGACAAAAACAAGGCATACTGTAACTACAGCAGTAGCTTTGCTGCAGTGCTGACAGTGTACACACCACTATGTAATGCCTAAAAACACAGTGGAAAAACTAACTGTGGATCTCAGGGTCAACTCTTCTACACACTGTTCATAACAGAAGGTAAGAATATTTACTTTGGGGAAGTCCCATTCACTGAGGAACAGAGAAGGGAAACTACTGGTCAAAATTCCTGATAAGTGTTATCACCTTAAAGGAAGCTGGAACTTGTTACTGTGCTGCAAGAAAGCTCTTGAATGTCACGCACAGGTTTGGCCCCTGCATCTGGGAGTGCCATAAGATCTTAAGGAATTTGGGTCTCACTCTACTTAATGCTCTAAGCCTACTTCAGGCATGCTCACAGCACAAAGCTAAACACACATATGTTTGTTTTGTGAGACCAAGGCCCCTAATTCCTGAGTGAATTGAACTCTCCTAGAGATGAGGCATAAAAATCACAGAGCAGTATTTACTCCACTGTATGTTGTTCATAAAACTGCACCAGCCTGAGGTCAGACAGGAACATGAGACCTTCACAGTCAGGAAAGGCTTTTATTACTACAGTTCCTATTAAAGGAACATAGACAATAACTGAACGTACTTTCCAATACATTGACATAATTTTTATATTTTCATTCAAATGGCATATTAACAAGCATAGTATGAATTTAAGTATGTTACATCAGAGGGTTAGTATTTATACATTACTTCAGCATGCAAAACAACTCAGTAAAAGTGACAATACAGTGTAATTTACTAATGGCAAATTAATGACAGTAATTTAACAAATGCAACACCCACGTGTCACTGACTGATGAAGCCAAGCAGTATGCCTAGAAACACACATAGCTGGAGATTCAGTTCAACTTACAGAAGTTATTCTTGTTCTTTTTTATTTTAATTCTCATAGAATTGCTATACAAATCCTCAAAATTAATTTTGGCAGTTTTCAGGATAAAAAGAAATGAAAAGAAACAATTCAGCTAATTTGCAAGTTACAAAACAAGGGAGGGGACTTCAAGCATGCTTATGATACACAAGATAAATGCCAGACACCACACCTAGACAAGCTTGAGCTAGTTACCATTAGGACAAAAACAATTCTTCAAGTTATTTTTCACCATGCTGATGCTACTAATGTATGATCTCCAGCGGGGCTACTTGCTCCAAGCATCCAGTTCTTACAAGGAATCAAGAAAGCACAAAGCATGCAACTAAATAAGGATGGCAACACTGAGTGTGATATGGAGTGATGTATCACTGATATCACAAAATATTTAAATTGAAAAAATGAATAATGTTTCAAGTGAGTCCTTTCATAGGTGTTGCAGTGTTATATGATTAAAGAGTTGTTCATCCCAATAAGACATTCTGAAATTTTTAACGAAGAAGTAGATTCATGACCATCTTGTGACCACGTAAGGGCAGTGTATCTTGAAAATTGCTACTCACGCTCTTCACATATAGCACTCCTTATTTATTAGTGAGTAGATAGAGTGTACACCCCTCCTGGTACTCTTCCTGCACTGGTAAAAGCAACAAGCTTTGCATCATTTCAGCCTCTATAGTCTTTAATATAACAATGTCAGAGATTTGCAAGGGACAAAATACACTGTAGTAGAGCAATTAAAAAAATACTATGAGCCATAGAAAAGATCAAATTCAGAGTTACTTTGAAGAGACCTTCCTGCATCTGACTAAAACTTTCAAGGTTATTGATCCTCATCACATTTACATTTAAACAACTCACTCCTGGCAGCAAGTCAGGTTGTAATATAATGTTTAAGCCAAGAGACAAAAAAGGTTTCACCTTTGAGCAACAATTGGCTACACATTCTAATAATTCCCTTTTGCTTAGCCCAAGCTGCACAATGCTCCATGACAGGGGCATCCTTTCATCACCAAGAGAAACGTATGCACCTTATTCCTCCTCAAGCTACCTTGATGGTGTAATGAGCATCCTTCCAACAAAGCACTCCTACTGAGTAGCTTAGTACTATGGTAATAGTTACGTTTAATTTCTAAAGAGAAAATATTACTATAATGGGGTTTGACAGCTTTCTGTTAAGGTTTGATCACTGGGATGAGGCAGTTTTAGAAATAGGAAATAACAGCTATGTGTCTCGAAATCAACACACCAACAAGAGGCGGCAGGTCATACGGCTAAAACCTCACATACCCTGCGAGGGTCAGACCCCAGACAACTCTGCTTTGGCTAAAAACTGATTGAATTACAGAAGACAAGAAAACCAACCTGCAACAAATAGTATTTACAAATGGATCAACAAGAACACAGAAACATAGGAGTTTTACATTAGCTTCTTCTTCCCCCCCCCCAAAAAAAAAAAGGGGAAGTTAGTTAGTATTTAGAAAGGTTAAAATAGATGTGTATATATGTGAATTATCAATTCAACGCATCCATTAAAAAAATCAACTTGCACATTAACGTTTGACCTATATAAGCAACGACCTTTAGAATAAGCAGTACTGAAAGCAGTCAGCAACTTTGAAAGGAGCTGGCAACTAACCAAGATTTTTAACTTTAAGTTAAAGAACACGGGCAGCAAAATGCTCGTCCTATACAGCCCAATTCATCTCGGTATCGCAGGAGAGACAAAAACCTACTGCTTGCTCCACGTTTAATATGCTTCTTAAAGGGCCTCAGCTTCTTGGTTATTTCAGTTTAGCCGAATGTTTCTCATGCCTCGAGAGCACGTGTGCCCATCCTCAAGGCTACAGGGTACCGGTGCTGCAAGCCTGTACTCCAGTGGCACGGAGCTATCCGGCTCTACTCATCTCTTGCGGGAGGAAGGAACAAGGAAACTTATTTTAACTTCTGTTTTTCCTCATTGACTTTCTGAACAGGGAACACGAGAACTCGGAAAGAGGAACAAGCATCAGCCACACGTTAATCAGTACCTAAAGAGGAGTTTGGTCCGATTTTAGAATAAACGGCGGAGACACATGATCCAATTAAATTCTAATTATGTAAGTAGTAGGCAAGAGTATTTACACAGGCACTGATTACAGCTATTAGAGCCTAAAGTCGCCGGCTGGAGACGCTCCGCTTCCTCCCCCGCCGCCAGGCTAGTCTCATTTTTAACTTCCCCCCCCTTCACAGCCCTCCCTACAGACAATAGGAGACGCCGGCCCGAGAGTCCCGTCTCCAAACCCATGCCCCCTCCGGCGGACACCAGCGTGGAGGAGCCGCCGCTCTCCCCCGAGTGATGTCCTCGAGTCCCACCTCGGGGCCGAGAGCCGGGGAAAGACCCCCCGCACTCACATCCCACCGCCCGCGCCCCCAGCCCCGCAGCGGCGGCAGAGGCAGCGAAACCCCCCCGCCCGGCCGCCGCCCCTTACCTCCGAACAGGTGCGGCGAGAGGTGCGCGGGCAGCGAGCCGATCACCAGCCGAGGCCCGCCGGAGGAGCTGCCGGAGGAGCCGCCGCCGCCGCCGCCGCCCCCCGCGGGCCGCTCCCGGCCGCTCTCCTCCGGGGTGCTGCTGACCGAGTCCTGCGAGCCGTAGGGGCCGACGCTGTGGAGGATGTTTAGGGCGGACTGCGCCGCCCGGGCGCCAGAGGCCGTGGCCCCCCCCAGGGACCTGCTCCGGGGTGCCGACCCCGCGGCACCCCCCGCCGCCGCCGCTCCTCCGGCCGCCGCCGCGCCGCCCGGAGCGGCGTGAGGCGCCGCCGCCAGGTGCGCGTACCGCCCGCCGGCGCCCGCCGAGCGCCCGCCGGTCCCGTTAGCGCCGCCGCCGCCGCTGCTGCTGCTGCTGGAGGAAGGCAGATCCCCGCCCGAGTACGCCCGGGTGCGGCCATTGGCGGCGGTGGGGCTGCTCTGCTTCGCGCCCATGGTCCCGCCGCCGCCTGGCGCTGCCCGGTGCCCTTCGCCGCCGCCTTCCCCGCGGCGCCCGGGGGTGGTGGCAGTCCGGCCCCGGAGGGGCGATCCGAGGCGCGGGTCGCGCCGGGGAGAAGGGAAAGGGTTCGCCGGGGGAGGGGGACGGGTCGCTCGGTGGGTCGGTGTGGAGAGGGGAGAGCCGCCCGCCGGGATCCGGCTCAGCTGGCGGCCCCGGCGCGGCCGCTGCTGGCGGGTCCGGGGCGCCACCATGAGCTGCTCGGGACGGTGCTGGCTCCCGCCGCGCGGCCTCTTGGCCCCGCCGCCGCTGCTGCTGCTGTGCCCGCCGCCGCCGCGACCGCCGCCGCCATCCTCCTCCGCCGCCACTGAGCCCTGTGCGGGGCACCGGCGGCAGCAGCGCCGCCGAGGCCGCTCGCTCGCCCGCGGCGCGCCGTGCCCGTGCGAGGGAGGCGGGAGGGGGCGGTCGCCCGGCGCAGCCGCTCCTCTACGGTGTCGCCATGCTGGGGGCGGCACCAGCGGGCGGGGTGCGGAGCGGTTACGGCGGGCGGGGGCCGCCGCCTCTCTTTCCCTCCCCGCGCCCGGCGGGAGACCGGCCCCCGGCGGCGGCGCAACGAGCCGGGCCCGCCGCCTCGCCCCGCCTCCCTCCCCGCTCCTCCCGCAAGGTGCGGGGCAGCACCAGGTGAGGCCCCGCCTGGGCTCCGGCCGTGCTCCCTAAGGTGGGTAAGGAGGTCCCCTCGGTGGGAACCTGCTGGAGACAGACACACAGACACGCACGCACACACATACACGAGGGGGGCTCGCTGTCCACCTGCCCGGAGGGGCTGCCCTGCCGGGAAAGGAGTGAATGAGCAAGAGCGCGGTGCTCGAGGGCGGGAGGCGGCCCCTGGGTCCGCTCTCCCCTCGAGCCCCGGCAGGTAAAGGAGGAGCGGAGCGGTGCAGCGGGAGGCGGCTCGGCGGGGCGGGCAAGGCCGGGGCGGCGGGTGCCCTCCTGCCGCCCGGTTCTCTGCTCTTGCGGCTCCAGCAGACGCCCGGATGCCCGACCTCGGCGGCCGGGACGGCTCCTGGTTGCTCGGCTGGGCCGCTCCCCGAGTCCCAGGCTGGCGGGGCGGGCAGTATAAGGGCCGCTTGGCCCCATCTGGAGCTCTCTCGGGTCCGGGGCTTCCTGCCATGGAGGTTTGCTGCCAGTCTCGGCTCTCCTGGAATGAGGACATACCAGGAGATATATGGGACGTATGGGGAAACTGGACAAGAAGGATGAAAATCTCGTGTCTCTGGTTCACAGGCGATACAGGAAAATCCCGTAGACCTCAGTTTCTCACTCAGAGAAAAACTCATATTTTTACACAAGAATTGACTAACCTGAAAATTTTGGCCCAGTGAATAATATCCATGTGGATAACAGGCTTGGTTTGCTCCTGACAAAATTATCAGAGACATAAAATTATTTTGTTCTTTAAAGGTATGTGATGTTGAATGTCATGTACATTGAATTTATATAAATATGATTCCTACAATCACTCATTCAAGGAAAACTGTTTTTATGGATTACTGTCTGTTCTAATACAAGGTATGTCACCATGAAGCACTGCTACACACCGACTCAGGTCTCTCCATCATACTGTCTCGGTCATACTGTCTCGGTAGGGACCCCAACTACATTCCTGCCTGTGTCACAATGGCATAGAACCCAAGCTGATTTACAATTAACACAATAAAACTGATCAAAACCTTAATTAATACACAAAGCATTATGTAACATTTTCTGTATTACATGTTATTATTACATGTATTATGTATATATAAGGTACAAACCTAACATTTACATGTACATGTTCCATTTACATGGAACATTACATGTACACTTATGGCATATTTGATGTTCCTCCTCAGATGCAAATAGGCACAAAGGCCTCCCTTTCCCCCTCCTTTCACCATCTCTGTTACAACTGCGTGTGGTCGTGTTCTGGCATCAGTGTAGCTCACAGCTGAATTTGCAAAAAGAGGTACCATAGTTGGGGGTGGCACAAGAGATTACTAGCCCCAACTCTTCATTCCAACACCACTTTTCTGGATAGCTGAGACACTGTGAATAATCTGAACCCCATTTAGAGGATGCTGCTGTAAACTATTGCCCGTTTCAGTAAGAGGCAGTGATTCCACAGCTGTCTCATGAACAGCTTGGTCCTTTGTGTGCTGGGTGCTGGGCAGACAGCTGGGGTCGATAATCTGCCGTCCCAAGCTATGTCATCCCCACTTGTGAATTATAAGCTGCAGTCTCTCCTAGCAGTGGTAGATACTCCAAAGTAGATCAATCATGAGCACTTTCTAGTTGTTTTCTACAGAAAAAAAAAATCAGTGTGAATACACTGTCTGCTCTACCACTGATTACTTTTTAAATCGTTGTCCAGCTTCAGCGAAATCTCAGAGACATTAATTGTATAGAAAATAAATAGTTATGTAGATGATAGAGATCCTAATGTTCCCACCAAAAGGAAAGCTACCGTAGGAATTCCTATCTTGCTAGATTCCAAGAATCTGCTCAGGCAGGGGATGTTGCAAACATGACTCATAATTTCTGCTGCTCACAGAATGCCTGTGGCATGTTGAGCCCTATTGGAGCAGGTTTAGAGGGAGCATGCTCAGAGTTTTATGGAGTTTTTAAAATTTCCACTACTGAGTGCTAGTAGAGCTGGTCAGCTGCTAGAATAAACAGCATTTTGAAAGTAGTGCATTGCTACACAGTACCACAGTACTTTCTGTATATTTTTTACAGTGGATCTAAGAGTTGAACAGGTATTAAATACAGATTATATTTGACTGTGAATAACCTTTTATTCAATTTAGGATTAAGATATAAAATCTATGGGGGGAAAAAAAGCTCTTAAGATATCTAGCCAGTTACTGTCTAACAGTCAGAAAATTACCTTTAACAGCATAGGATATGTCACAGAAAAAAATTCACAACAACAGTCCAGCCTGTGTTCCCTTCTCAGAGAGCATGACTGTTTCCTATGCTTTTGGTTTGTTTGTTTGTTTTTTTGAAGGCTTCAGTTTTTGTTTTGTATCTAGGACATATTTGCAGCTCTCTCACTATCAAGTGTGAGTCTAAACAAGACACAAATCTCAAAGAACACCTAGATCTTCAGAAAAGCAATGTGTCATGCCTCTGAGCCAGCTTTCTCCCCTCTATTCTCCCCGTCTCTCTTAAAAATGGTTGAATAGAGATTTTTCTGCATATCGAAATTTGCTTTATATCAGCAACAGTACAGTTAGGTTTTCAGGCTAACGTTTCTTCTAACAAATGTCTACTAGTCTTTTCGTCTTGTAGAGGCAAGTACCTGGCACTGTAACCTCCACCCCTTTGTTCATTAACACACTCCAGAAATAGTTTGCATAAAAAATTCCTAAGTTAAAAAAAAGTAACTAGTGATGAGAGGAAACAGTACAGAGAGAAAGCAGAATATCTTGGTGCTGACCATATTTCCACAGATTTCAAGGACTCAATGGAAAGCAGATAGTTATATAAAAATTGACTTTGATAGGCCTATATGGGTGAATGCTGCTATTATTCCTGTGGAAACATATCTAGGGACTCTTATTCATACTTAAATAAGCACTACTTGTTCCTTGTCCAGGATAGTGGGAAAAAACTGGTTTAGACAGGCAAATATACTTGCTGTTCTTTGTTACAAGCTGCATACCTCCACTTCAGTTCTGGTTACACCACCTCATCTATCAGCAACTGAAAATAATGAACTTGTTTCTTGACCAGTTTCCTTGAACATACCAAGTGGCAGGTGTGCCCTAGGCATACAAAATTAGCCGTCAATTCATAATATTGCACATTTTGGAAAATGTGTGCTGATAAATGGAACAGGGGTCTGCATTTTACTCAACAGTGAGCTATGCAGACAGATCAGCCCCCCCTCTCCCTCCCTGCCCCCTTCTGTGGTGGCTTTTAAAGGGACACTGAAACAAGGATTTAAGCAAGGTTTCATTTCTGACAGAAGCATCTGACCCTGAACTAATAAAGCCAGCCAGAGTTTCATTCTGTTCAGAACTGATCAGACACTCTTTTCTAAAGGAGAAAGATTTAAAAAGTAGCAGCACAGACTCATAACATGCAGCTTAATTTTATAATAGCTAGTGTGGGCTCCTAAAAGGGTTTGGCCAAGTAGGTTTTTTGAGCAGTTACCAAACTAGAAGTGCACAGTGTGATTGGAAGAGATCAATGCAGTTTTTACATTACTGTGTATTTCATCTGTTTAAAATAAAAAGTGCTGCACACCGCTTCTGCACAGATACTGAAAATAGACACTTCTGATGTGTTCTGTTGCTCATAGAGAAAACAAAACAGAACATTTTGTCCCTCTGAAATAAGATGTGTAAAAGAGATATGCCTTCCATCTGTAGCTAGAGTAAGCCATCCAGCAGGCAAGAGTTTTATACATTCACATCTGTATCCTAAGGGAAATAGGTCCCATATTATCCCTCTCAGTGTGACCCACGAAGTATACATAAACTTGTTGTAGGAATCTCTTTAGATATATTTTAGTGTCAATGAATCTCCAGCTAGTGACTGGTATTTCAATGCAGGAGACCCTGTTATCCAGTATCTTAGATTTTTATTTGCATTGAATAACTTTTTGTATGTATTGACTTTAATCCTATGGAGATTTATGCGTATGCTTACACTGATGTATGAAAAACAGTTCTGCAACATGTTGTGATCAGTCTTCATGGAATAAAAAAAATAAGCAGCTTTCAAGCTCAAGGTTTAGGTCGTAAAATTATTCTGGAAATGTGTGGTGATGCTTACAAGGATAAGGAAGTTTATCCTTGCTTTATAAAAATTCTGTTAAAGCCATCTACCTTTTGTTTGAAGTTTATGCTTTTTTGAAATTTCTATCACACTGCAGACAGTATGCTTGAATTTTTACGCTAGAGGTACCCGTAGAGGAAAGTGATGTTCACAGGAAAGATAACTTGATCTTAAAAATAAGCTGACATTTTGACTGGCCTTATTGATTGACCATTTGGTACAGAAAAAAGTATGTTTGGAAATAACATACTTCAAGAAATGGCAACTTCTGCTGTGCACTTCATTACCACATGCTACAAAGTAGTACTTTAAGAAATATACTTCAGTCTAAGATTTTTCATAGGAAAGGGCATTCACCATAATAATTTCTAAGCTGTTCTACATTCACAGTTGTATTACTGTAACCACGGAGTACCTGTGTAGGTAACCAAATGCAATACCAAATGCTATTCATATGAACTTGCCATTTTAGTACATGATCAGGCCAGTACTGTTACCAGTTCTCCCATAAACTCTGTTAGTTTTGCTCGTTGGTGGGGATTTTTTGTTATCAGCTTTGAATCAGTTATCCTACTGTGTAGTTTACTGACCTTTCATGCAGCTATAGCTCCCCCAATGCTATCTTTCTTTAGAATCTACTGTGCAGCTCATTTTTCTTATATACTCAAGGAACAAGAGAAGACAAGTAGCTGCTTAGACTATGCCCATTTCTACACTACAGGCATTTGCACCAATTCATAAATGAAGTTACATCAATGCATGTTTATCTGGGTAAGGCGTGGGATGTGAGTCCAAGGCAGATGAGCTAACATATAAAGGTCACATCGAGCTCATTTTTCTGTTTCTGTGATTTCTAAGAAGAGGGAGTGGAGGATAAACCAGCATATGGGAAGTATGTTTACTCTCTTATTTTCAGATCTCGTGTATTGGTGCCCAGCAATGCCAGCTGAATGTGGATTCAGGAGTTGGGGGAGGACTATCGGTCACCTAAGCTCCCTTTACTTGGGCAGAGAGAAATAATGGTAGTCCTTCAAGCTATACTCCTGAACTACACTAATTTGCTTTGCAATGCGGGGTGTGACCGTGAAACCCCTCTGCAACTAGAGAGGCAACTGGCTTTACAGAGAGCCTTATCTAGAGCAGTTTGTCATAGTTAATAAGGAAGGCACTTCAAGATGTGACATAGTTAAATCAGTTTTCAGAAAGTGATTTCAAGCAAGCTCTTTTACAGGATACATCTTTCGTTATTGGTACTAATTGCTTGAATGCCAGATATCTAGAGGAAGAGGTGAGTAAATGGAAAACAATGTTACAGAAAAATAACAGTGAAATATGTAGGAGTCAAAGCAGGTGGTAGAGCCATGTGACATTAGATTTGCCGAGTACAATTTGTATTCTCTCAGGTTCTGTATTATCTGCCAAATATTACCTTAACTTCTCAGAATCCAGAAGAAAAATTACCTTTGTCCTTATTTTTGCACAGTATTTGCTACTGTTTTATATTATTACTAATTTTTAATTAATATTCTTTAGCCTCGTACTTGCAGTCTACTACTCATAAGCCTAATAATGAGAAACAAAAACACCCTAGGTAAGTTACTCGTAGGAATGTTAAGCACAGCTGCTTGGGCAGTCACACATTGCACCGACTTTGTGCAACAGAATTCAAAGGGACAGGAACAACCTTAAAGTATAATAAAAGCAAGGCATACTAATGTATGCATCAGGGTAATACTTTAATAACTAATGCATAGTGAAGAATACAAAAGCACATAACTGAATTTTTTTGAAGGCCTAGATCACAGCTGCAACTAGACCGAGTTGGGAGGAATGTCAGAGAGCTCCGCTTTGCGTTCTCTGCCAGAAACATTTTCTGCCTCGGCTTCTGTGCATCACGCCTGGTGTAAACCAAGCACGAGGGTGGTGTAAAAGGCTCCATCTGTCGTGTTGGCTCAGATCCACTTGACAGAAGCCAGAACCCATAAGAGATGAGAAATCAGAATTGTGAACCCACTTCCTCCTCTCCCTAATTTGCCCTTCCCCAGTTTGTACTTCTCCAGGAGCAAGAGAGACAGTGTCTTGTTCTAGTTGCTGCTTGCAAAATGAGGGGAGTGGGGATGCTTCATGCATCTTCCTCAGTCCTCCCATAACAGCACAGGGACCACTCACAATTTAGACTAAAGGAATTAAAATTCTTAAAGAAAGAAAATGTTTTCCAAAGAATGGTAGAAACCAGTCATTTCACCACTTCAGAAAGCCAATGTACACTTCCTGGCTGGTTGCTCTGCCTCAGGCTGGTTTCAGTTCAGTATTCAGAAAATGCCAAGTAAATAGTAAATCAAGTTCCAGTTAGAACAGTCCTTGCAACAGGCTGGTGTAGCAAAACATTTCTAGATTATGCAATGTCTTTCTAGGCAGTAGGAATGCAAAGACTCAGTCTTGTCAGTAGGTTCTTGTTGAGATGCGAACTGTTAGTTACAGGGCTCATCATCCCCATGGAGCACCTATGCAATGCTACCTTAGCAGGGTCACAGCTTATCAAGATAACTCAGAACCGCTTATATTCTTTGTTATTTTCTAAACAAAGCTTTTGCTCTGGACTTATGGTAGCTCCTCTTTAACTCAGTCATGATATGGTCACAAAATAGATGGGGCCCTTTTACAGCCATATTGATCCCAGTCAAGGACAGAGTTGTACACTTTCCACGTGGAGTTCAAATAGTAAACAAAAGACTTGTTTTGTAGGAAGCACATCCTGAGGCTGGAGAAACTTGGATTCATTCTGGGTGGCAATTCTTCCTGTCTTTGACAATACAGAGCAATTTGGTATTGCAAGTCCACACTGACATCTAGTGCTGAAAAAATTGCACTAGCCAATGAGGAAACAAAGAAAAAAAAGATGTTGGATTGGAATGAAAAATCTAAAAATATAGCAAATCATCCCTCCTGCTTTATGAAAATGACAGTCTGTGGGTCTGTCCAGTGGGCAGGAGGTGCTTGGCTCCATGAACTTGGGTGCTATGGGGACATCCCTTAGAGAAATGCACAGGGTACCAGGTCTGACAGCCAGACAGCATAGCAAGCCCTGGCTGCCCCTGAAAACTGCTCTTGGGGACATGAGCAATCTAGAGCTGTGACTTATTTTAAGTTTGTTTTTTAGTCACTGCTGTTGTAGGACTTGGTCTGGAGCTACATAACTAATAGACCACTGCTGCCAATGGCCTGGTAATCTTGATTTTACAAAGACTTCACAAGGATGAAATGTTCTCACCTTCCAACCCGAGAAGAGAATTTCCTGGTACATTCGGAAGATTCCACACTCTAAGGTTTTTCTAGGGAAGGGGGTCATTTGTTTAACAGTAGCTTTTAGTCCTTGATATTCTCTTACTTCCAATTTTAATACAAAACATTCTCATCATTTTTACACACACACAAAAATTTGCACTTTTTAATATTTTATTGTGCCTTTAAGGGCAGGCAAAGATTGTAAAAGAAAATATTTGTGATTTTTTTATCATAATTTCTATCTTCCATGGTAAAGTAAGAAGTAATCATAATGTACAGAATAATGAGTGTTTTTCAGTATCTTAACTGCCAGCACAGTTCCTCCCCTGTCACCAGGGAAATGGTTAGATTAAAACCATGTGCTCTGTGTGCTTCAGAATTGAAATATGCATGTTAGTGTTGTATAAATCATCAAAGGAGATGAGCAAAAGGACAGATCCGAAGCCACCAAGATCAATGGACTTTTTTTTTCCCGGTTAAATCCCAGGAGCTTTGGATCAGGTCCCAGAGGATGTCAGAGCTCTGCCAGCCCTACTGAAAAACTGTAGTCCAAATGCTGGCGTGCTATTTGGCAAGCCACAACCATAAGGTTAAGCAGAGGTTGCCAGATGTATCCTCCATGGAGAGAATCCTGGTGTTGGTGAGTACAATTTCACAGCAGGACTCAGCACAGGGGATTTCTTGTCTCTCTGCATGGAGGCAAAGCAAGTCTTACCCTACCAGTCATTGCTATGTGTGAGGGGATCCTCTTCCTCCAGAAACCCTACACTGTGCATTGAGGCACATGGGCGAGCTGTATCTCCCACCATTTTGCACTACCTGGGGAATAGCTCTTACCTCCTCACCTTTCACAGCACAGCAAGCAACAAATGGCAGGATTTAGCCCTTATTGCCTTGTGAGTGTGAAAGTCTCAGAAGAAAACATAGTTTTTTCCTGTCCATAGGAAAAAACCCTTCCTCCCCTTATAGTCAGAAAGCCCAAGTATTCAGATATAATTTCTTCCTTCAATTTTTGCAATTTTTAATTTTTCTGAGAAATAATTACATACACATAAGCATGTTGTCACATCTAGGCTGCATTCCGCCCCACCCAATCTCTTGTAATCAACAAGAGTATGCAGATTTTAGAAATGTTTCAGACTTTTGTGTCTGGGCTGGACAGATTGGGATGTGCAGGAAGGATTGGCAGCCCCAATTAGACAATAAGTAGCATAAGTAGCTGTCAAAAAGTAAGGCTAAAGTAGGAGAAAGCATGTGGCATCTCTCACTAGATAAGCTAGAATGATTGGCATATTCAGTCAGAAACACTCATTTTCTGATTTAATGGGGGCTTAAGACAAATTGTCTCGCAGCTGAGACCATGCAAATCAATCATTAAAATGTCATGTTACAGTCTGATGCCAGTTTAAATTCCATTAATATCAGTGGAGTTGCACCAGATTTATCTATCCAAATTTATGGGGTGCAAAATTTGACCCATAACAATAATTAGGAGCATGCAAAGCATGCAAAACTGTATCACATGTATAGAATTTCCTTGAAATAAAAAGCAATAGAATAGTGAAGCCAAGAATGTAGAATAGACTAGAGTAGAATAGAAAAATAAGGAAAAGGAACAGGAAAAGGAAAAGGAAATGGAAAAGGAGATGAAGGGGACAAAGGAAAGAGGAAATGAAAAGGGAAAAAAAATGAAACACTGAAAGAAATGCCATGAAAAGAATGCAGGAATTTAGGAAAATTCCCTGAAGACATTTAAAAACATGGGGGGGAAGTTCTAAATGTATATTAATAGAATTGAATTAAATCACTTCAACACTGCTGTCATCATATCATGTTCCTGTCCATCCTTTCCTGTTCAGCTTCCAAGAAGACCCAAAGGACATGCAATCTGGTGGTAGTGAATTATTCAAGAAGATGCCACTAACATTTTAAAGGTGACTAGTTTACAGAGCATATTTGATGCAGTGATTGAACATCCAGTACAAATATATTCAGCTGACATTAGTTCCTAAGCCTTTAGGAACAAGACTGTATGGAAATCAGTGTTTTTTTCATTATGGTACTAGGCAATAACAGATACATCCCCAGCTAACAGCACTGACTTGCTTTATGCAGAACGCTATTTATTGTAATAAAATTTTGAATATATTTTGGAGACCAGTGAGTTAGGTTGAATGGTAATAATTTAGCATTGCATACTTAAGATTAAATCTCGCACCTGATCTTTTGCCTTGTGCTTAGGAGTGTTGTTTAGTGAAGGGAAAACTCCTGTTCATACAAAACCAGCATGAGTCAGGGCTACTTTTCAACAAGGGCTGGGGGACCACAACCCAAATCAAAGGGCCCCTATTGGCCCTTTCAGTGACTCAGTGACTCAGGATTTCAACAAATTCCCAGTCTGGGGTAAAGGAGTAGCTTTGGTAAAGCAGTAGACTGGTTTTACAAACAGCTGCTGCCCACAAGACAGGAATGACAGGGTTTTGGCAGTGTACAAACCCGTGCTGCAGCAGATCAAGCTGGGGTGGCTGACACAACTACCAACCTTGCCTGATTGTGCTGCCCTTATCTTAGAGGCTGGCATCTTTGCCTGGAGCTGACAGAAGGACCCAGACAGCTTGATGTGCTCAAGTAAAGCAAAAAATATGTCAGTCAGGAACAGTGGCAGTTCCGAAGCAGCTGTGTGACCCTTCAACACGCTCCCCTGTGAGGCTAGAAGGGGTGAAAGAGCCCTGCTTTATTCCGTTGCCACATCCAAGTTAATATCCTGATACTTCAAAATTTGGCTATGAACAGCTTCTAATTCAAGCTGGCTGTCCTCAGCAACAAAGAAAAATGTAAATGCACACTGATGGTTATGTAGTGCGCTGTTTTAGACAATGATGGTGGAGGCAAAGAATGCTTTAGAAAATTCACAAATGCATAATAATAAAAGCCCTTGAACTGAAGAAGCTGACGAGCCTTTTTTAATCTTTTTTTAACTCCCTCGCTATATTTTGAATAATTCTCGCCTTTATCTGAAAATGGTTCTTTCCAGAATCCTTTCAGATTTCAGACTTCATTTAAAATCACATTTGATGATCTGATAGTTTGTTTTGTCTGACAATATTACAGTGCCATTTTCATCAGCTGCAACCCACCTGATCTGATGTGCCTCAACTAATAGTGCTCAGTCCAGGCCTTTGATTCAGGTCCCTATTTGCAGTGTAGACTGAAGGAGAAATTTTAATGCACTTCCATTTTTATGAAGGGCATTTTGCAAAGAGAAGAGAAAAAGCCAAGCTGAATAAGGATGCTAAAAATTATTAAAAATATGTTGTAAAATCAAAAATTATTTACATGAAGAATATCTTCACAGTGGAAAAAACTGGAAAGAGGGTATATTTTCCCAGTGGAAGAAACAGGAAAGAGGGTACAATGCTTGGAGAGCAGCAGCATTGGTCAGAAGAAAACTTGTCCTTGATTTTCATCTATCTGACTTGATTATTTGGACAACTTATAAGTCACTTTGACTCTAGTTCATTCAGTTCCTCTCTTTCTGCTCCCTACCTCTTTATCATTTTGTCAGGATAAAACACATTACAAATTGCAAGAAGCTCACACAGTAAGTAGAAGTATGTTAATAAGCACAGAAGGTGAATACTTTTTGTACTAGATCCCTATGTAAGAAAAGCTTTGGAAATATAGAACTTTCAGGAAAGCCATGGTATCCAAGTTATGGAAATGCCAGTCACAAAAAAATTGCCACTAATGCTCGCCTGCTAAGCAGAGCCATGAAGCACAGAACGTGCAATAAATATTTCTGAAAAAATACCTTGTAAGTTCATATGCTGCAGGATATATCTGAAAAAACAAGTCATAGAAATACTTCATCATGTAGAGATTGTAGTGGCCTGAGAAGCCACTTCTCAGTTCACCTGGCAATTTATAGATATGACCTATACTGGAAGAAAATAAATAAATATTTTTTCCAATCAGCAACTGACGTAAACCAAACATGTTTACTGTTAATGCTGCTGTCACAATTAATCACAAAGGCCCAGAAATCAGATTGTGCAGAACCTAATATTTTACATTAATATCCCTGTGTGGTATGTATTAGGGCTTTCTCAGATAGGAAATTAATTCTTATTAAAATTTCTTGTGGGCGTTAAAACTGAAGTAATGAGACAAGAATTAGATGGGAGTCCAGAGGCAAATGGGGTGGAGAGGTTTATATAAAACAGCTCTTTAATAAACAGTAGAAGAAAGCTCATGAGAAAGGAGCAATATGCCAGATGGAAACAGCTTTGCCTGTTTCCTGAATAGAGTCTTTCACCCCATTTTAGAGAGGTAGGGTGAAACATTGTCAAGGCTGATCAGACCCACAGACACGCAGTAGAGAATTTGGTCTGTGTCTCTATTACTGCTTGCTAACTGAACTGACTGCCAACTCAGACCACTGGTAGAAGTTTAATTATCATCCCTGTTGTTTTCGTTATAAACTGCTGTTCCTTGGGGGTTTATCACTTCAGTTTTTAAGGCCTTTCTGTGAGTGGTTTGGTCACAGAGGTAACAGAACTAGATTGATTTAGAAACAGATTTAGCCAGACTGGTGCTGAAATTGTGGTTAAACTAGCTTGACATACCTCTTCACCTCTTTCTGTAACACACATGCTAAAAATCCTGCCCTTATATTTACCAGAGTCAAACATAACTGGAACCATGTTAATAGTCTTTGCAGAAAAATCTCACTAAGATGCCTCTTTGAGGGGTGTAGGGTTAATCTGGAATCTCTTCATGAGGCTACAGCCTGGCACATGGCCAATATGCAGGTCAGTTGGTCAATATTTGCAAGAAATCCTGAATTATATTCAAAATTTTGGTTCTCACAGAGTTCAGAAGATCCTTTCCCTGTCCTCCTCTTCCAGATCTGGAATGTGCTAGTCTCCCAGTTCTACTGGCTAATAAAGATCTGAAAGCATAGTTGTTACTGAGAGGCTTACATGTCTTTCACATACCAGCAAATGCATATGCCTGAAAAGTGAGAGCCTAGAAGGATATAAAGCAGATTTCTATAGACAAGTATTGCCTTATGCTGGTTTTCAAAAAACATGGTGTTTTTTAAAAGTTTGTTTTTTCCTCCCCAAAAATCAAAGAGGTTATAGAAAGGGTGATTAGTTCCTCTTCTTCTCCACAGCAGACTGTGCTTTTGAAGTCCTTCCAGAGTACTTGTCATCACAGTGCATGTAACCTTACTGTTCAGGTCTTTAGAGGGCTACAATATATCATTCTGGAAGCTGTAATTACATGGTTACAAATCCAGCATGTTGTGTGGCTGTTTGTGTAGGTAAATTTTATATAATGCTTCCCAGAAAATGTTTTGATAGTGGGAAGAAAGAATTTGGAATTGACAAACCAGGTTTTCCTAGGCCAAATTGTTCAGGTTTATCCCCTCAGGATCCATCTCCACAGTAGGTTTGATTCAAGTGAGCGGCCGACCTAGCCAGAGCATGTGCAGCCACAGCTGCATTCGAGTGCCATCACCCACTCAAAGGGAGGAGGAGGAGAGGACAGGCAAAGAGAGGTGGAAGAACTGTACAAGCAATTTGGTTATCATTTCTGTTTGGTGTCAGAACTGCTGTGGTTATATCCCAAAAGTCTCAGCATTATACTAACCCAAGATACTCTGTCATTTGTTTCAAATGAACCGCAGGCCATAACTAGAAACCCCCCCAATTTAAATGGTTTTCCTGCAAAATGTCCCTCCTCAGGTTGCCAGTGTGACTGTTGACAGCAGAAGGATTTTGGGTTATGACGCAGCCTAGTGCAGTGTAAAGGAAACACGTGGATGAACTGGTCTGTATTTGTGGACACATTTGGGCATAGCAACCCAGCTAGCACCCCGAGTGACTCCTCAGGGATGGCTGGCCTTTGAGCCACACGTACACAGATGTTACCATTTAACGGACATCTCTCGATACGTAGCCAAAGCCAGGATAACAGACAAATGGGGGATCAACTCCAGTTGCCTATCCTCATTTGTCTTCTTGTCACGGCTCTCTGGCTTGCTGATACGTTACCCTGCTGATATGCCCACCATGCCGCAGGCAATGCCCCTGTCTCAGGAGACATCTATAAACCATTTGTGGATCCAAAGAGAATCCGTTTTAGCATATGCGTTATCCGGCCTACCCAGGATGAATTTTAACTGGTGCATAAGCGCTGTGTAATCATTGTTTTGTATGCTATTTACGCATGTTTTATAAAGATACCGCCCTCTGCATAGCTGGGGTATCCCTCCATTTGTATGGTAATGAATCAGTATTTAGGGGGCCTTTTCTGCTCTGCTTCTTACCCAGCCCCGGTCCCTCTGATAGCTGAGCAAGACCCACAACAGCAGATCCGCTAACTAAGGTAGTCGAGATGAGGACAAAGAGCCCAGACATACCTATTCAGGGAGAAATCTGCATCTGAAAGTGCCTGCTGGAAATGGGCGAGATGCCAAACAGCAGGGAGAAGGAGGACGCTCTGGAATATAAAGGAGGGCATACTATTATGTTTTCCTGTCTTTAAGTCACTGGTTATTTGTACAAAAAAAAAAAAAAAAAAAAAAAAGGAAAAGAGGAAATAAACAAGGGGAACCGTTTGATTTGACAGCAGCATGTTTTATATCCATATCCCAGCAAATGCAACACCCCTTCTCTCCCACAGACCTGCCTGCTGCTGTCACTCTTCTTCTAATATTGCAAGCATTCTCCTGTTCCACCTCTCCACAACCATTCTCCGGTTCCATCTCTCCGTAACAGAGCCTCTACCAACAGCTGATGAATGTGCTGGATTTGCAGTTGCCCCAGGATGCAGCAGTCAAGGCTGTGCTATCTGAGCGGGTAGGTGACTTAAGCTCTCATTTTCAGGAATCACTGCCTTTTGGGGAGCGTAGGTTACGCAGCTGAACACATGATGCCTACACTTCAGGTCACAGCAATCACCATTGCTCAAGAGCCGTTGCTGTTACAGTTGAAAGGGGTTTTGGTTTACTGTTTCTGAGCATGCTGCCATGCTGCTTTTCCAGTTCTGCTTCCAGCCATTCCTCTGGTGCCTAGGTCTTTCCCATTATAATCTCTGCATGTCCTGCTGCCTCCAAGAGACCCCAGCAGCCTTTAGGTCCCAATGTTTAATAGTATCCCCTGCTGAACACGGGTCCGAACACGCAACTCGTGCCAAAAGAGAAAGTGGGAATCATCTCAGCAGCAGACTATGGCAGCAGAAAGTTGATCAGTACTCACATTCACAGGGGACAAGCTGCAGCAGCAGCCTGGATGACAGGTAGAAATGACATGCCCAGCCAGAATCAGTGGATACAGTAATGCTGGAGAAGAAGCCTGTGATCTTCCTCCCCTACTTCTTTTATGGCAGCTAGGCTGGTTAATAGCCAGCAACCCTCTTCAGGAAAAAGAAAAAAAAAAAAAGATTATGTGTAGGCCCAGAGTGAAAGAGTTCAACTGGAAAAGACCATCTTCCCCCAGCAACCCATTATGCTTAGCTCTAAACCCGATGTTCAGCATGGTGGCAGGAAAGCAAATTTGATAACAGCATGTAAATTGTGTGCCAGTGGACCTGGGCTGAGAACCTGCTATCTAAATCTCAGCTTCCCCTGTGCCAGAAGCATCCCAGCTGAGACTCATCCAGGATTAATCTGCAAAGACTAAGAAAGAGAAGGAGCAATGATTGACATGGTAATACAGCATCTCCCATGCAAAAATGCCCTCAACCGCCTCCAGCATTTTCATAACCAAATACACACCTTGTTTTGCACTATAAAGAGCATGGGAATGAAATGTGATAATGAGACATAAAGAGATGCATGTATGAGACAAGCTGTGGACAGGCAGTGAACATAAAAAGAGACATGTACATGTGCACATATGGGAGAAGTGGCAGATAGGCACATTCTTATAATCTAGCAACAATAATCATGACAATAACTAAGTTCTGTTATAATTTTCCACCCTCCACACACCTTTGCATCTCTGGAGAAAAGAAGCAAATGACCAGGCTTTCTATTCAGATTCTTGTAACTAGGCTCCAGTGGTCCCTGTCAAAAATACCCTGTCAAATATCCACTTAAATCATCAGGCAAGTTTGCTTCAGCTGTCTTCCTGCCACTTGTATTCTGTATTTTTTTCTTTATTAACAGGGAGGATGCTTCATGGAAAGCCTACAAGAATGCATTTTACAGAGACTATTGGAAAATATCAGTTCAGAATTCACTTTCCACAATCCATGACACATCCAGTGCTAAAAGCTGCTTTCACTTCATCAGGAATCAGAACCAGTGCCAGACCTGCCTCTGTTTCTTACACTTGCAAAATTAATACCAGTAAACTTCAGCTCAGAGAGGACTTGAAGAGATTGTCTGGCAAATATTTTCAAATGGTAAATAATAGGGGGGAAATAATACCATCTGGACAGTGCAGCAGCAGAAAAAGAGGCAATATTTGTTCACTAAATTCTCTTCTAATTATTGACATACTGCAACTAATCAGCATTAGAAGCAAAAAGAAGCTGTAATCTATGAACGTCCTCCTCTTTTTGGACTGTTCCCAGTACTAATTGCAGCAGAGGAGGATTCTGGACTGAAATCCTCTGGCTTTTCACTTAGAGGAACTCAAAGGCTGCACAAAATGTTACAGGTTTTCTGACTTTCTTGCAGCAACACTTTTGCCCTGCCATTTTGTGAGGCTATGGATCCACAGCCACAACCTTTTATCTGAAAGCTTTTTGTAAACTGAACCAACAGTAGCAGATGCAGAAACAGATTTCCCTTGGGAAATAAAATCAAGTCAGTCTGACAACCATAGTGGCAAGTACTAGCAATGTTCATTGCCCTTGTAAATCTTGGGGATAAACACCCCTAAAATGTCAGTGACTGATGGTGGAGATTGAGTAGAGTGTAGGTGTTGTAATACACAGTATACATTCCTGTGCTCTCTCTCTGCCAAAATGGCAATGAATGATCATTCGTATTGGGCAGGGTGTAATTGCCTATGCTGTGTCATGGAGCTCATGGGCAGGCAGTGCTGGGGTGGGTGAAGATGCTTCTACATGAACATGTCATGATAATCAGTCTTCATTGATTCTTTTACTCCCTTATATTTGTTGCTGTCCAGGTGAATGCTTCCTCTTATCTAAGTAGAAATTGTTTATGCATAGTGCAGTGCCAAGATCTGTGTAAACATTAAAATATGGATATGATTCACTCTTGATGATGGAAGCAAACCCATAGCATAAGAGAAGGAAATTGTTCTATCTCTCTCCACCATGCCATGGACATCTCTATAACAGGCTTGGGGGATTTCTAGTCTGGCTTTGCTCCCTGTTCTAGAGAAACATTTACTTTGCTTACCATGCTGCAGTCTTGCAGGAGAAGTTGTACTGGCTGCACACCCCCTTTGGGCTGGGACATGTGCCTGCCTTGTGACACTAAAGTCACCCTCTAGGCAAATTTTTCCTCTCAACCATCCTTCCAGATACCATCTTTTTGCCCTTTCTGCCTTAGGGGGCAAGGAAATTGCTGGTGGGACATCAACAAAGAGAAGAATTTTACTGGGGAAACCAGCAACCTGCTTTTCATTGTTACTTTTTACTCCTGCCTGGATCATCTTACAGTTGTTTCTATGACAACAGAAAAATTATTTCTTAACATAAATCAAATTTGTCAGACTTATACTTGTGCATACCACTTGCCAAAGGCTAGGAAAGCAATTCTGAGACCAAAAAGCAGACCAACTGACCCACTCTGAAAATGGAGCTATCAAGGATCTAAAATAGAAAAGATTCCTTGTTTTCCTAGGTAAATTTGTTCTGAGTATTGAATTGTTGTTGTTCTTTTATATTTTGAGAAAGAAAAGCATGAGAAAAGGGTATATCATGAATTAATACACTTATGTTTTAAATACAGACACTTTGGGACAAATCCACTGTGTTTCTAAGAAAAGAAGCGTGAATATTCAGCACATAAACAGCATAGGAAAAGGAAGAAAATAGAAGATTCATATGAGCTCCTCTTTGGAAAATGTAAAGGGACTTCTGAAAATGGCATTCTGTGCCTGTTTGATGCATGGTTAACAATAATAGTTCTTCGTAGCCTGGTCCCCGGAGTGCAAAATTATGTTTACCCTTTGCTTTCACATTGTGTCTCATCTTGTCCTCTGGCATCTTTTCATTAGACCCTAAAAATATAGTTAGCATTGGTAGATTGGAACAAATGTTTTGCAGGCAGTTCTTCCCTATGGCATGTGTTTCTGCTGCAGAGCAATGAGCCTTCTGAAAAAGTTTGAATTTTTTTACAGCCTGAATGATGAATGGTAGCATCACATATCTATTTAATCTAGAATGATCATAATTTTTAATTATGGCAAAACCCTTTCAGAAGTTTAGTGCAGTTTGAAGTATTGATAAAGCTATTAGTTCTAGGCAGTGGGTTACTCTCGCTAATTTAAAATTGGTGGTTAAGAGGCTATTTTAGTTAAGATGTCTCTGACCAAGGGGGCATCCTATTCATCCTGTGGAAGAGAACAAACTCCACCCCTGGGTATGGAGACTGGGCTACAATATGAGCATAGGTGAGCGTTCTGTCCACAGTACAACTCCTATTTGTCTCAAAGAGAAAGTTTCAAAGAATGAACAAAGGCAAAGCCTCATCTTTTGCTACAGAAGGTAATGTACTATTTATTATCCTTTCACTCTGTTAGTATTTGATTCAGCAGAACTCAGTAGGAGTGATTCTTCTTCTCTTCCTTCCCATCTTCCTTTCTCTGTTTCTGCTCTACTTCCTTCTTGGCATCTCTCCTTTCTTCATCCTGCTCCTTCCAGCAATTCCAAACCCAGCCTCAACTGCATTTTGGCTTCATTTCCATTCCTCTCCATCTGCTAAAATGCATTCATGTATTATGTATGAAATGTTGACATTTATAATGTTGTCAATAAGGTTTTGAGTCAAAGCCTGAATAGAAACAAGCAATTTGGGCAGCATTTATGTCTCATCAGTATCGTTTCAGACTATTTTTGGACTGAAGAAAGGAAACACTGCACAGTTTGGTCCTACTAGGGAGATTTCCTGAAAAAAAAAGATGGATAAGAGCATTTTTTTTACTTTAATTGAAGATTAAATGCCAAAGAGTATGGTGGTTCCATGTGGTTAACTCATGAAGCAAGGTGACCCAAGTGTTTCAAGAATACTGTATCAAAGCAAACGTACATCACTACGGTAAAGTGAACATGTACGTCTTTTGAAATATCCACATACACACATATGCATGACTGGGAGTGGGATTTTGTTCTTAAAACTGTAATTCTGCAGCAGTTTAGTATGGCATCTAAGTGGAGATGACTTCCACTTTTCCTTGGATGCTCTCTCCATTCTTCTTTTCACTGATATTTGTGCTATCAGGGATAAACACAAATATCAGGGATACAGGGAGCCAGTTAAGGGAGACAAACTAGCAGCTCATTTCATGAGGGGGACAGAGGGGAAAGAAGCATTTCCTTCCAATTTAGCTCCCCAAACCAACTCACTGAAGGATTAGGTATGTTTTTGCCAGTGTGAAGGAGAGACGAAAAATCCAGTCAGCAGTGTAGTGAGGCAGAGGGGCAAGTAGTCAAGGGGTAACAGCAACCTTGGTCAGGTAGACTCTGACAACTCCAGCTTCAAGTGGGGATTTTGAAAATCTCAGGCATGACTTTCCTGTATCCATAAAAAAAACAGAGCTCTGTCAAACTTGCTTCAGAAGTATTCTGGCATTTAGGGATGCTTAAATTTACAGCCCTGTTTTCCATTTCTTGCCTTTGATGTACTGATTGCCACTCTTCTTCCAAGATGTTTGCTGTGCATCATACTTTGATTTTAGGAAAGGTCTCAGGCATATATTGACAGCTCTGGATATTTCTCCTGCTGAACAGATTTATTTAATTTATGTTTATGGGTTGCCCATATCTGACTGTTTGGATATGAACTGTATATACAGAATAATTTGACTGCCAGTTCCATAGGTCTTTCAATTACAAGGCACTACATTTAGTTGGAGGCAAAAAATATTAAATAGGATCAGCTACAGGAAAAGTCATTCCTTATTTTTCCCAAAAGGAGAAATTTTTTTTTCTATTTCACCCAATACAAGGTTCAGCACTTGGAAGAGAGGGAACAAAAAATAATAGAAATCCTTAGGCATGATTTTTCTCTTAGTAAAAAACAATTGAAATGAGCTGTAATTTGGCTTCTTCATTAACGTGAAAGTGAAAAATAGACAAGGTAGACTAACAAGTACATGGCTGAGTCTAGAAGGAAACAGAGGTGAAAAGAGGTTAGAAATGAGAAGAAAAAAAACAGTGGTTTGTTGAATGCTTGAGGTAATCAAAGCCCTGCATGAATGCCCAGCTAGGTGAACTTTGTCCTCTTTACTCTTTGATCTTGGTCTGCAAATGATTCATGGCATTTAGTGACCCACTACACCAGCTTGCCAGTCAGTTATTAGGGAATCATAGCTCCTCTTTTTTACATCACATCCTTGTTTTCACTTTATTCCCTGAATCTCTCAGTGATATATGTACGAGTGTGAAAGAAATATCAATGACATGGAGAAGAGCTCTCTCTCTCTGTATGGCACCTCTGCCACCCCTGCCTTTGTGCTTAAATGTTTTCTCTTGTTCTTGCTGGTCCTGGTATTTTGCAATATATATCATTTTCTCTAACCATGTTCTCTAATCGTTTTACACAGACTGAATCAAAGGACACCCTCCAGGGGAGAAAGAACTCATCTTAAGATCAAAAGTTATGCTTTATTTGCTGTTGGAGGTCACCTAATCTGAACATGGCATTCATAACCTATTTTCAAATTGCTGTTTAGTCACTCTAAGTGGTTTAACTCATACATAATGTCCTAAAAAAGCCCTGGTCTTGGAACACTCTGAGGACCACCCAAGAACTGCTGAACATTTCCCATTCCCATGACAACTGAAGGCTCAAAGTAACCCCCTGTGCTGTGCCTTAACTCTTCTGGCCAGAGCAGGACTGAAAGGCTTCACCCTGATGCATCTGCTCCCCACATTTCTTGTTTGTAACCGTCAGCTGATAGATACCAACTAGACCAATGCATTTCTTCAGGTGTGTCTCAAAGAGAGAAGAGGTCAGCAGTACACTTTTTTTTTGTACATTGAACAACCTCTTGTAGCTATCCAGTGAAAGGAAATTAAATGTGGGAATCTTTGTAGGAAAATTCCAAATCCCATCACTCAGTAGATGAGCACAAGCCTTCATGAAAGAACCTACATGTGAGTCACAGGAAGGAGTGTATTATTTAGTTCCCCTTTTTTATTTATAGTCACTGGGACCTGTTAAAGCTGTGAAGCTGCACAAATGTTTGCCAAACTGGACCTGT